TAAGACGTGCCCTTACTTGAAATTCACATCTGCTCTATGACTCTAGGTCACTCGTGGCAATATCGCCGAGTAGTTAACGTGTCAAGTTCACATACTGCACTGTCACGGTTTGACTGCAGCTGCGGGTATTAATAAAACCTATACAAGGTCGAAACTGCAGTCCACCCTGGATGAAAAAAACTTATTGGAAAGTAAGGCTCTATGAAATTCATTGAAAACGTCTGCTCTACTACCATTCCTTCATCAACTTAAGCAAAATAAGGTGGATTTATCTCATATTAGTAAATGTTTGACAAATGTCTTAATTTGGGTTTTACTCCCCTTCCCCAAACTCATTTTATTTATTAAAAGTTGTCCTATTAGCATAAAATAAATAAATATTATTGTCATATTGTATTTTTTGGAACGCTAATTTCCAACATTAATTATGCCTATAAATCTTCTTTCTTAGTTTAAATTGGCTGACCATAAAATAAATACAAAATCTTTAAATTTTACTTAAAAGCATTTTGGAAGGATTTATTTTTGCAACAAAATAATTATTAAAATAATTGTATGTCTTAATACAGTATTTCACATTGGCGGTCTAACCGGTTTAATGATTCCCCCCTTTCCATAGTTATGAGCAGGGACCAGCTCCAGTGGGCCCTGGTCACAGGGGACTGTCAGGAGTTTGAAAAAAATCTTGAACAAGTATTTAAAAAATTCATAGCTTTTACAAAATAGCTACCTGACGTTAATTGCACGCTTGCAAATGGGAGGGCCCCTTTACATTTTGCTGCCGACTTCGGACAAAAAGACATAATACAGTTTTTATTAGATAAGGGTGCAAATATTGACGTAACAAGTTGCTTTAATTTATTCTGCAGTTGATGGATGGTTTTGGGGTAACGCCACTTCTAGCAGCTATTTATGAAGGGCATCTTGATTGTGTAGAACTTCTTTTGCGACACGTAGGCTTTCGTCACTTATGTTTTCTTTTTAAGAAAGCTAAAATAGGAACAGCACCAAATGGAGCAACGTATGAGGAATGTACTGAATCAGAAGCCATAAAGAAGCTCCTAAGAAGATACCAATAGGTCTTAATGTTTCATAATAATAGTGCCTTACTGA